AACAACAACTACTACTACTACAACTACTACTACCACTACAACTACTACAACCACTACCACTACCACTACCACTACCACTACTACCACTACTACCACTACTACTACTACTACGACTACTACTACGACTACTACGACTACTACGACTACCACTACCACTACCACTACCACTACCACTACCACTACCACTACCACTACCACTACTACTACTACTACTACTACTACTACTACTACTACTACCAAAGCAACGAACAAACCAACCAACCAACCAACCAAGCAAACAACCAACCAACCAACCAACCAACCAAACAAACCAACAAACCAACAAACCAACAAACCAACAAACGAACAACGAACAACGACAACCGACAACCGACAACCGACAACCAACAACAACAAACCAACAACCAACAAAAAACAAAAAACAACAAACAATAAACAAGCACCTGAAGCTATAAGTGATTCTGGAATCACTAACTTTGGCACATATGTCCTGTGGCTCCAAATTCAATTGTGTTCATCTTGTTTTCATCCACAGTGTCCTCCTGACGTTTCACCATAGGTAAATACGTCTGAGCTTGGTTTCTTGAGCGGTTCTAAGACCCAAAACATCATTCGCAAGGAGCGGAGGACTCTATGTTCTAAATTTTGAGCTTCACTCGTTTGGATAAAATGAGGTTCTTGACCGGTAGTTAGCACAGTAGTGGCATCAATTCAAAGCTAACATATATATATAGATATACATATTCACAGTCGGACGCCCTCGAAGCAAGATTGCTCAAATCCTAGTGGTTATCCTTGCAAACATAAAAACATCAAGCGCGCCTTGCGCTAGCTTGTGCACCGCCCTTGCAACTGCACCAAATCCATAGAATGCGATCTCTCTGTTCACCAGCTCAAAGCCACTAGTGCCATCAAAGTTATTTCGAGCGCTAACAATCATCATACCTCAGCTTTTGCTTGGTGCTCTTTAAGCAGAAGCTTGAAGAGAAGAGCCTTCCATAACGTCGCCTTTATATATACTCTAGGTTGAGAGTACATGGCGGTGAGTGGTCCAAAAATCGACGTCGAGATGCCATCTACTTTTCCTCGTTCTGCTGCACTTTTTTTCGGGGGTCAGACAGGAAAAAGTAGATGGCACCTGCCTGAGGTGCAGCCAAGTCCACATGTTCAAGCTCCATTTGATTGCCGCAGTCATATTACATTCACACGTCAAGGAAAAAGGGGTTTGTGACTATTGTTTTACTGTACACTATTCTGAGGGTGCTTGGCATTGACACATGTAGGTTTCATACCTTGTGCGACAAAGACATGTTCAATGCACACATGGAAAACACATGCTACCACATGTTACCACCTGCACCTACCTTTCCTTCCTCCTTTTTCCTTGATGTTTTCAGCTATTTACAGCCATAATAGACATGTATTACAAAATCCATGTTTCCTGCAGCTTCACCACAACGGGGCGCATACATTGGGCTTCTTGCTGGAAGAATCCAAAAGGCGGCCCCATTGTTTATTAATTACACTATTGTCAAACCAGATGGCGCAAAAAATGTCAACAAATCAGGAGCGATAGGCATGGTATACACCCCCAAGAACAAAAAGTGACTTGGCACAGGGGTATGGTCCAAAGATAGGGCGGTGCCATCTATTATGTGAAATTAGCTGTTTTTTTGCTCTTATTTTAGGAACGGTGCCATCTACTAGCGTGAGGACACAATATGGAACAAAGAGAAGGGAGAGATACAGAGAGAGAGAGAGAGGGAGAGAGAGAGAGAGAGCGAGAGAGAGAGAGAGAGAGAGAGGGGGAGAGAGAGGGCAGAGGAAAGAGAAAGAAAAAAGATAGAAAAGAGAGAAGGAAGAGAGAAGAGGGGAGAGAATCAAGGAAGAAGAGAAGGGAAAGGGAGGGAAGGGGAGGGAAGGGGAGGGAAGGAACAAGACATGGGCAGCAGAAAAAGAAGGGCTTATGGAAAGCAGGGAAGGGAGAAAGGGTAAAAAGAGAGAAGATTGAGAGGGGACAGGGCGGGACTGCCACTCTGTGTACAGTAGGTTGCGCAAAGTGAAGGTCAGAGGTAGGGGGAAGGAAAACAGGAGAGGGGAGAGCAGGTATAGAGAAAAGGGGGAAGGGGGCAGGACTGACAAGTGCAGAGTAGATGGCGCAGCCTGATGACCAGCCAGGGCATGGGCAGC